CAAAGAATAAAATCCATTTGGTTTCTGACAGAATATTTGAAAAAAATAATAATAATAATGTAGCTTGACTACTAAGATTATTTTTGCATAAATAAAATAAGGATAAAAAGTATATCAATAAATTAGTAGCATGTTTAATATATCTCAACTCTTAATAAAAAAAAAAAAAAAAAATGGGAGGGAAACTCTTGGGACGAGGTTTGATTGACCTAAATGTTAAATATTTAATTCATTAAGTAATTTGGACAAAGTTTTTTTTTTTTTCAAATGAATAAATTTGTTTATTATGCACTAGGTGGGCTTATTATTAACAAACGTGATCAAATATATGGGGCCTTAATTATATTGGCCTAGCAAAGTTTTATTCTATTTTAATTAAGGGAAAATAATATTAAAAGAATACGGATTAATCTAATAATTTTGCTGATCCACAAAAGTATATTCAAATCATGGAAAGGTGAAGTAACTTTTAATTGGACCGATTTATTCTAGCACGTTGACTGGACCGAAAGAGAATCTATTACTGTTGGTGGTGCGTGGTCGGATATAATTAAGTACAAAATCAAGATTTTTTTTTTATTTTTTTTAATTAGGTATATGAAATCCTAACATATATGAGTGTTTGTAATAATAGTCATAAGATAAAATAAATTTTCCCATATCATGTGTTGCATATTTTTCAAATTTTACAATTTCAACTTTAGAATTTACTATTAATTTAAATAATACCAAAATGAATGAAGGGGGAAAAGAAAATTTTTAATTAAGCAACAACTGCACTTGTCACATCCTATAGGGCTGTAGACTTTTAGTAATTGTTGCACTTCTGTCACCCACACACACACACACACACACGCAATAGATACTTATTTTACACGCTTTCAATTCGGAAGAAGAAAAACGCGTCTTAATCTCCCTACCCTTTAATTTGTGTCCGGGCACACAAATCTAAAAGGTTTCCCATTGGTCAATTTTGACCTATCCTTTTTGAAAAATAAAAGTCTTATTTATTCACACGACCAAAGTAATAATAGCCCATTGAAAAATGAAGATTAATGTGTGATGTAAAAAGGCACCTTCTTTGAGTAATTTATTGAGAGTTAAATTGCAGCTGTTCGTGTTTAAAGTGTGAAAATTTGCATTAGTAGTTGACTTGTGTAACATCCTTAAAGTTTGTTGCATTAATCCATGCAATCTAAGCTACTTATTCCAATTTCAAGAGCAGGCCACATTCCGGAAACACCTTACTACATGTAGCTACTGGGGAGATCCCATCGACAAGAATGTCACGTTTTTTGCTTCGGAAATGGGAGTGTTAGAATATCACTTGTGAGTTGTCCCACATCGTTCATACATAGAAAATAGACCCACCTTATAAGTCTAATGGGCTACTCCTCCTTCCATCAATTGGTTTTTGGGATGGAACTCCACTTGGACACCCAGTTGGGCTTGAGCTTCTCACATCCGTTTATGAAAGTCTGCTTCCCCACGTACCCGTTTATGATATTCTAACAAGGAGCATGGCGTTGGCTAACTTCCACTAAACTTTCACAGCATTTTAAAAGTTCACCAAATTTCAAATTAATTAATAGTAGTATCATAAGTTTCAAAACTTCACCAATTTTAAGGACAATTCTGCCTGAAAATGCGAGACTCATCTTCACACCAAGAGGTAAATAAGTTTACAAAACTAAGGGCTTGCTTGTTTATTAATTAATTTACTCACTTTTATTTCAACTTTAAAATTTAACTCAACTTTAACTCAACCCCACTATTTTTAAGATTATTCATATAATTAAATAATACAAACTAATCATTCTTGCACATCACATCAACTTCAATTCACTATTCATCAACTCACATATTTTTAACTACCTATCATTTCTAATCATTTCCAATCATTTATCTCTTACTTTTACAACAAATCAATTTTAATCATTTTATTTTAAATATTATTCTAATACATTCTTAAAATTCCACTACAACAAACCATACTACCTTTTCAAAATTAATTATGGTTAACCAAAATAACTCATTTTAAACAAATTATTTCATAAACAATTAAGTCCTAAGTATTTTTGTCAGTATATTACGCTAATCCGTCTATATATAATTAATATACTCGATTGGATCCCATACTTAGCCAGTACCCTTGATCATTCAAGAGTAAGAAAATTATGTGTTGTAAGATATATAAGAAATGGTAATGAAATTATCACCATCCATATGATAAATTTCTTACTGAATACAAGAAGTCGTGATTAATTAGTTAAATTTGTAATTATACTCTGGTAGAGCTAGTTGCTTTTTTTTTTATTACAATGCCCATTGTTTATTACGGGCAAACATGGAAGCCGCGCGCAATAACCTAAAAGCTGCAACATGTGATAAATATAAGTTGACAAGCCAAAACCGCTGACCTGTCGGCTTTCTTGACCTAAAATTCTTGACTTTGCTAGTAGTAACTATTCTTTTCACACGTATGGTCCATTGTAAGTCCAATTAAATCTGTGTGGTTGATTAATTATTTAGGCCTTGTTTGGCGATCAACGGATAGCGGATAGCGGATAGCGGATTGTATTAGCGG